ACAGCCAATACTTATCTGGCAAATATCTGACAAATCAAATTAAAATAAGTTCAAGTCCAAATTCAGAATTTTTCTGCAGTTCTTTCAGATTAGAGTGTACAATTGATATGCAGGAATGAACTTGCTTTCCCTTGGATTGGAAAATGTTGGAATCTGATTGAAGAGTCTCTTGAATGACAAGCTGAACACATCCCTGTGTGTCTGGGCTGCATTCCAGTTTTTGACAATATAAGTGCTTTTCACTTAAGCTTGTAATACCTCCACAGAATGTGTAGCTGGACTGTTTAAAAAAACATCCCATATATGGTTCTGACACATATTCCTGCCTCTTGAATCCATTGCTATTACCTCCTTACATCCAATGCCATTACCTCCTTAAACCTCTGATTCAATTTCCTTTTTTTATTATTATACTTATGGTTATGAAGCAGTGACAGGCATATCGTCAGATACCCAGAGGTCAGCCTCAGTTCGAATAAGCATCCAAAAGGGTAGATACTAATCTGAAAGACCTAGGTACACATTTAAGGCAGTTTTGTAACCCATTCTCCTTACTGCTATCATGTTCCTGATAGTAGAAATAAATTTCAGGGCTTAAAACCAAATTGCAGAGGCTTACTTTATTTTAGGATATAACAGTTGAAGTAGAAACTAAAAATCCAGGTCACCTTGCATAGAAAATGTGCTGAGATTCCTCCCCCCCACACCTTTCTTTCTTCCACTTGTTCATGTACTGAACTATTATGGGGTATTTGTTGAAGTCTTCCTGCTGATATGAAATTATGAGGAGCAAAGCTAAATAAATTTTTATTTCTGTAGGGACAAAGACATAGATTAAGTAGCATAAAGCAGAAGATATAGCTATGCCTTTAAAACTAATTATGAGTATTTCAAATTACCTGAAAGGCTGAGAAACTCTTTGGTAACAAATCATAGGAAATGTTTTAATTTTTTTTTTTCCCTTGTCATAAATGACAAGAAAAAACCCCAAAGACATCAAATGAAAAAAAAAAAAACCAACAAAAAAAAACTACAGGAAATCTGCCAGCAGACTTGTATAGGCCAGACAAATTAAAAAAATATTTGTTTTGGAATTTCTGCTGGAAATTGACTTCTTAATCAACAGGTAACTTTAATGATGTTTCTCCTGCAGTATTTATTTTGGTATGTGTTTTGCCGGTACTCTGCTGCTAATACAAATGTAGAAATTGTAGTTTTCATGTGTTATTTTGTCTTAAAATAATTTTTTAAATATTTGTGAAAGCCAATTAACAAATGGGGAATGTTTGTTTTGGTATGTAAGAATTTCTAAATTCCTTTTAGGGAAGGAATCTTTAGGCCAAATCTTTTACATACAGCCCCTATGGACAATGTCAGGGCATAATTTTTAAGTGGCCTTTTTTCATTGCCTTGTTGCTAATAATGATCAGAATGTGACCTTATTCTCTAGAAGAGCAGTCTGCCCTAAGGGCTCTACCCACCTAAACTGTTCTCTGATAGTGGCCAGAAGCAGAAAATTCACCACAGACTGGTATGATGAAGCAAAGGGAGATCAGTTTTCATCCCCTCCTGTAATTATATTAGTTCAGGAACTGTAAGCAGTTCCCAGGACATCAGCTCTTGCCACATCAGTGTTCTCACCTAACTCTGCTTAAAACTTTGTCGATTGATATAACAGAGGCAGCCTTGTGTGGGTGCAAAATTCACTGCATCTGTTACTTAGGTACCGCTACCTTCCTTCATCACTGCTTTTGCTTGAAGCCACAGGCTCTTCTCTCATATGGGAACTCTTTTTCACCTCTTTACAATGCTTCCATATGCATTCCTTTACACACCTCCTCCACTTCATAAAAATGTGCAATTTCAATCACTCAGTTTTCTTTCCATCTTTGCAGCACAGGAGCCCAACTCTATAAATAAGGTGATGTTCTTGGTGATTTGGGCTCAGTCAAGGTTTATTGGCTTAACAAAGTGTTATCAGCTGAACTCTGCTTCTCTCTGCATGTTTGCTGTGAGGTGGTGCAGTGTATCACATGTTTGAGCACAAGGCAATGCCTTGCATGGCCCAGAAGTTCAGCCCATGTGCTGTTTGTGTCTTATTGCTGTAAGACAGGAGTGGGGATCACCCCTCTGCCAGTGACATGGGTAAGGTTTGAAGGGAAAAGTTTTCTCACAGAATCACATGGAGTCTCTTAAAAATTGCTATCAGGAGCAAAAGCCAATGTCAGCCATAGCTCTGCACTCCTACACCTCACACACACATGCACATGGCCTAACTCTTCAAATATAAGAGAGGGCAGGGCTATAGGCTAGACAGCTGGTCAGAATAAACCATGTGGGGCCACGTGAATAAAAATGTTGATGTGCACAGCGGTTTGCACAAAAGTAAATACAGGTTGTCTTCCCTAATTTCCAGCTCTGGAAAAAGAGCTCGTATCTTTATTTTACTCAGTTTCTGGAATACTTTGAAGGGGGTGGTTAGAGCAGCAAGAAAGAGGTTTCAACAGACAAAAATGAAACAATTAAATTTCAGTCTTTGTTCTCAAGGTCTTCTTTTGAAGTTACCTAATGAAACTCAACTACATTCTTCTCCTTAACATGGTTGTTAATGCAGCTGTCAGGTAGGAAAGGGAAGGAGGTAGTATAATTGAAGACTTAATTTTGAACTGTATTGTAAACTAGCTTTCATAAAACCCAACAACAGTAAAGTGGTTCATTACATTTTAGACTGTCTGATGTAAATAAGGTCTCTGAGAGTGTGTGATCAATCTTTCCAAGGGCCAAAATATTTTGCTGTTCCCAAGCTTGATTTGCTTGTTCAGGTTGAATAAGCTCTGCTCATGCATTTAGAAACTGACTTGAATTTTAATTTTATTCTAATGTCTAATTGCACCTGCTGTGGTTGCCTCTAATTCCTACAAAGTAGATGCTCAGCTTTTGCAGAAAGACTCTGTAGATTTTATAAGGTATTGACCAAATCAGAAATGTGCAATCAAGTAAGGCAGCATTCCTATACCCAGTGTATGAGAGGCAGAATTTATTCTATTGCCAGTTATGAAGGGAGGGGGAAAGGCATGGTGCAAACTTTGCTGCAGAAGAAAGGCATTTTCTAAGTGTTAGTCCTTTTGTTCGACCATAATTATTTACAATCCACATTTTTCAATTTCCATTATCACTTACTGCTTCCTTAACAACTCCAAGGCCAGAGGAGTTGTGACACACATCTATGTAAAGACATTCCAAGGACAAAACCACTCTTTATTTTAATAATGTAACATTTTATGTATGATATGAGAGAACTTGTCAGTGGTACAGAAAACCTAACTCCTTACGTGATTCATTTATTTTGTTTGTGCATGTTAATCAGCTTCTTTCTTATCCTGTTCACAAACAAAGTAAAAAAGGCACCTTAATATTAGAAAAATGGTGTAGGATGACTGTTGACCAGAAGTTTGACTGACCTCAGTGGGAGTTCAATGCATGAAACTCTTTATTTTTTTCTTCTTCTTACCTAGATTAAAAAGATTAAAAGCAATGTCAGAGCCACTTTCAAAGTCATGGCTGAGTTATACACATTTGCTTCTGGCCTACAAGAAAAAACAATTTCCAAAGTTTGAGTGTTGAGTATGGAGAGAAGTGACAGAACAGTTTGTCAGTGGAGAATATTATATAGTGCTATTTAAAGGTTGTCCTCGACCTCTCCACCTCTTTTAAAGCCTTGTGAGAGAGATTTAAACTTCTTTTTTGCCAGTGGCCTACTGTCAGTTCCATATTTGTGTTTGTTCTCTCCATGCTATGGATGTAAGAGCACATTATGGGAGATCTTCTAAATCCTCTTTTAAACTCTTGTCTGAGAAAGAGCCCTCAGATTCAGCCAGGTCAGCCTTGGCACTTCAAGTTCATAGAAATACTTTTCTTTCCTTGATCTTGTCTTAAGCCGGGTTTTTACAGTTGGTGGATTGAAATCTGACTTCTATGAAGATAGTGAAGGTGTTTTTATTGTCACTGATGAGTTGAAGGTTTTCAATACTTACATGTGAATTTTCTTCTGAGATACATATATGTATATATCTATATCTATGCAAACACATATGCTGCTAAATTACTTGTAAGGCTAAGCTTTTAGGTTATTCGTAAGCAGATTTCTCATATTAAAAGGAAAAAAACAAAAGTGCTACCAGTAGGTATTTTGTCTATTTACAAAGTGTGACAAAGTGCTATTGTCAATGTAACCTTTATAGAAAATTAAATACTGATGGTACTTTCATGTGCCAGCTTTCTCAGTCCTCACCCTCTCATGTATAATGCCCCAAAAGATAGTACAAATAGGTACTACTGCAATAGTGCTGTAAATTGCTGAAAAATAATTTAATAAATATTGATGAATTCTACAGAATTCCTGATCTTTAGCTATAAATGTAAAATACAGAAATGAAGCAAGAACTGAGTTACTAGAGGGATTAGTCTTAAATTTACTTTCTTATTCTCAGCTCAGCATCCTCATTTGAAAAGGAACATAAAGTTAAATCAATGTTGTATTCACAGACAAAGAATAAATAGCCCACAACTGGGTTCATGTAGCTGTTGATACTCACATCTGGCTAGTTTGGAGGTGTCATGTGTGTTTCTGTGTCAAAAATGATGTAATATGTGGAGCTTTTATTTTGTGTCCAAATGAGATGTCATCATTTAATGAAAAGAGGGAAAATAAGAGCACAGCTGATTTGAAACAATTTGGAAAGAGTTTCAAAAAATCATCACTGGTGAAATAGCACCTTATTATTGTAAAATATGCCTTTACTGTTTACTACTTTAACATTGTTCTCTTTTAGTCTAAATACAGTGATCACTGAAAATAGTTTTGGGTATTTGTTAACATATTTATGATGATTGAACCTGCTTATCAAATTTTCTTATTCAAAATGCCACTTCTAACAATTCTAGATGCTTACTGAAAATACCTTTTTTTTTTTTTTTTTTTTTTATTCCTTGCTTTGAAGACAAAGACAGGGGTTTGTTTGCTGCAGGATGGTAACCAGGAGCCTTTCAAAGTGCGACTGCACTTAGCCAAAGATATTCTGATGATCCAGGAGCAGGATGTGATCTGTGTGTCTGGTGAGCCTTTCTATTCTGGTGTAAGTAGTTTTTATTTCTTTTTCAAGATGTTCTTTACAAAGAAAAAGTGCTGTGTGTGGGGGTGCATACACGCATCTGTATGCATTTGCTCCCGTGGATTGGTATTTCATTTTATACTGTTAACACTGAGTGTATTTTATTGTTTCTTTTGTGAGTAAATATTAGCAATACTCATCTAAGAAGCAGCGATAAGGCAAGTTATATGCATGACTGCAGCACTGGTTCTCTTCACTCATCCTGGGGTATTGGAGCTGTTGAATGTGGGAGGAATGACATGACAAGTGGTTTTTGCCGAGAGTACAGATACCTCCATGTACTTATGTATCTGAGCATTGTCTTTGGAGTTGGTAAGATACTTATGGCAGGGCTTTGCTGGTAGAGGAGTTGCCTTTTATCCTCTGTTGCTCAGGTTCTTTCCTGTGGTAGCCCAGAACTAGACTTCAGGAATTCTGGGAGAGTTACTAGCTTTAACAGCATATCAAGTTAACAGAGATGGAACAGAGGGATAATAGGCTTTATGTATTACTGTTTTTACATGATGTGTCAGATTTCTTATTTAAATATAATACTGAATTTTGTGCATGAGAAACAACAATTATTTGGAAGATCTATAAAATCCTATGTAGAATAATACTGCAGGGTTTAGAGCTATTGTAAGGCAAAGTTTTTATTAGTGTTAGGTGATAGGTACAAAGATAATAGCAAACATTTATTATTAATTTCTACAGACATTTTTATAGTTACTGTAATTATATTTTGTAGAGATTTTTAAGATTTATATGAAACTATCATAAACATTCTGGTCTCCCTTTGAGCTAAAAAAATAATAATAGAATTTCAAGTTAAATCTTGTGAGGCATGGTAGTATGATATCTGTTTATACAAATGTTTTGTTAATGCTGTTATGTCTGTTTTATTATTTAATTGCTGCTGTTGCCACATACTCACATCTCTAAATGCGAGTACAATAAAAAGATACAAAGCACAAATGAAAAATAAATTGGGAGAATGTTAGCAGTGCAAAGAGTGTGAAAGATTAATGAAAGAATGTATCAAATTATCCTTCTCATGATTATGAATATCTCAAGGTGAATCCTTCAGAGCTTTTATCTGAAACAAGAGGAGCACATTGCCTACAGTCTGCATAGTCTGGGTTTATTTACATGATACATCTGACATTAGCTTCTGACTGTTTCATACTGAACAAATGCAGTTTGCTAATACAAGTCTGTATCCTTTATGTGCAATATAAATGTTCCTTTTACCAGGCACCCCTGTTCCTCAATAGACAGGACATCCATCAGCCAGGATAGAAAGAAGTTAGAGTTTAAGCTTAAGCTGTAGTTGTTCAATTAGCAACATAGACTGTGGTGCCATTATTCCACCAACACCATTCTGACATTATTTATTAAAAGATTTTATCACTCAGAAATATGACTTTCATTATTCTGCTGTAATATTTGTAATATCCTGCTGAACTTGTTATTTAAATGTCTTCATGAAATGCATATTAATATTTTTTTCCCCTTTTCACAGCAAGGCTTTTATTTACAGGTTTTTTTTCTCCTTAAGTTTGCAAAGGCTCTGTAGTAAACAATGGATTATTTACTTCCCCAGTTAAGCGCCTCCATGTTTTTTGCATATTCAATGCATAACTCATTAACTGATTGATAATAGTGTGTTGATGTGGAGTTTCTGTTTCCTGGAAGTGTTATTGTTAGAGAAGTGACTTTTGAGCACTTTACCCTCATTTCCTTTGGGATTAAGACTAGGTTTTTTTAGCAGTAGGTGTGTTCCAACTAAGGATGATTGGTGTTTCACAGACATTTAAGTGTCCTTTTGTCACAGGTAATTTGAATAATCTGGAATCTCATGCCTTGATTGTATACTCAAGTCACAAGTCCCACAGGCTTCCTTTCCCTCCCTCCCTATTTTTCCTCAGTTTCATTCTTGATTTATTAGCTTTAATTTGTTTGTTTGTTTTTATTATGTTTTACTTTGGTTAATTTTGTTTTGGTTTTTTTTTTCTGTCATTCTGTATAACTGACTGCATTTATTTTTCTTTTACCTGAATTCTACTAAGCAAGGGTTTTCATTAGCAACTGACACTGAATGCCTCAGAGAATAAACTCTTTAAGCATAAAAATAAAATTTGTAATTGAGGACAATAGTATTGTTAAATTTTACAGACAAGTAGATACAATAAAAATTTCTCATCTGTTTAAATAAATAATCTTTAAATAATTTGATAAGGTTTTGCTTTATCACTGCTGCAGTGGTATGGAACGAAAGGCTATTACTGTGTTTCTAGTTCAGAACAGTATCTCTTCTGTTTGTTGAGTCTGAATCAATTTGCATACTCCTCTGTGTAGGACAGACTTTAAACAGGCACTTAACGTTCCAGCAGCATCCAGATCTGCATCCTGCAGAATAATCTAAATAAAATCAATGGCTCCTTAGGAATGAAGTGCTGTTTAATGTAAGTGTATGGGATAAGGACCTAGTTCTGAATTCGAAACACTTCCTTTTGGTCTTAAACAGTTCTAGTTTTCAAAACTAAAGATGTGCAAAGAAACATTGTTTCTTTTTTCATTGTATACAATTTGAAGAAAATAAAATACATTAAAGGTTGTACACTAAAAAAAGAGAAAGTATCTGTTTCTTTAGTGGACTGAAAATAATAAGAGTTAGTGAGGGTCCTGCAGCAATTGTACCTATAGCAATTCCATACAGTATCAACCATCATTTAAATGATCATGGAGTACATCTAAATTTGAACATCACTTGCATCAATGAGTATTAATTATATTTCTTTTTGTGTGCAATAAGAAAGTGTTGCTTTCCAAGGGAAAGAAATGTAACGGGTTCAGCATTATGCTGCTACCAGATATCCAGCAGATGAGCTCCACTGCAAATGACCAAAAGTGGGATGAGGACATATTGTGAAACTCAAAGTGTAGAAGCCAGTGTTTTTACTAATCCAAATTAAATCCTTGCCTATAGAGAGGCTCTATATTATTGGAAGTGTATGCCTCAGTTGGAGTAGCTTGTGTTGGAAGGTAAGGTCAGGTATACCTTTTCTCCCAGTGCAGTTACAAAATGTCCCCAAAAGAGCTGAATTAAACCATGTAGAAACCTCATCACTATAGATGGCAGAATTATAGATTATGTTTATATATTCTTTTAAGCATATTTATTTAATTCCTTGAAATTATGTTCACACAAGTTTGCTGTATGGTGTTCCATATAACAATGTGCAGTGAGGCAACTCCCACTCTTTTTAGACATACATACAAATAGCCTGGACTAACCAGGATGGATTAATTAGCCTTAAAATTGGTGAAAATGATGAGGAGAGAGGAGATAGACTAAGGTATGGCATATCTGAAGTAGATTTGTTCCTAGGAAAGGTTTTAATATTTGCCATTCCAGAATCATTTTTTTGTTTTGGAGTTAATCCTCACAGTTTCTATTACCTTTCATGAACATCTGAAATTCAAGGAAAAGGATTATTGTGCTTTATCAAAACAAGTAGTTTATCTCAGGAAGCTGAGGATTTTTTTCTTCTTTAATAAATTTTGTTTATTAATTGTACTCATTTTTTTTCTACATATAGAATCTATGTGCATGTGATATCCATAAATTAAGGGTATGACAATGTACTATTGACAGGATGGATGATTTGAATCAGCTACTCCTTTTTCTAAAAGAATCAAAATAAGATGCAAGCAGCTTGCAAATTGTTAGCTACCAGAATAGTTTGCATTTTTGCGAAATTGTCTTAAATGTTCTTATAAAGGGTCTATTGTATAACCTATTGTAAAATCTACAATCTAAAGGGTCTATTTGCAATCTATTGTACAATAGATTTTTACAATTTATTGCTAACTCACCTAATGATAACATACAGATGAGTCACTTCTCTTTCAAGTAATTTCAAGTTTCTATGCTGCTGTGTAGTAAATGCATTAATTAATTAAACATTAATAAGTTCTTTAAGTGGTTTGATTTTTTTTTTTTAATTAATGATTTTTTAAATTAAGGATCTTTGAGGGAAATTAGTGTGGAGGTCAGTCATAACTCAATACTGATAAAAAGTGAATGAGTGGGGGTTTTTTGTGAATTTATAGAAGAGCAGTTCTCAGAGTAGCATGGCATTTGTCCAAGCATTTCGCTGGGGTTGATACAATCGTATCTAAATGTAGCCTATGGACTGTAATTGATTTGCGATAAGGCCAGGATGTAACACTGTCTCAAATTGTTGCAGTGCAGCCAGTGCAGCCAGATCTGTCTGCCAATGTTGTTAACCGCACAGGTTGTTTTGGTTGTTGTTGTCTTTTTTTTTTGTTTGGCTGGTTGGTTGGGTTTTTTTGGTGTTTTTTGTTTGTTTTGTTTTGTTTTTGTTTTTGTGGTTTTTTGTTTGTTTGTTTTTTGTTTGGTGTTTGTTTTTATTTGCTTTTGTTTTAATTCTAAGCATAAAAAATTTGATATTTCACTTTTAGAGTTGTCCTTATACTACTGTGAAATAAATTCCTGAAAGATTCATAAATATATACAAAGCCTATAAAGTATTAAAAAAAATTAGCTGATAGAGATTTTCTATTTTTTTAGTTTTGTATAAAAAAGACTTTTAAATTAACAACTTTACACAATAGTGTTTTTCTTGATCTTTTAAAATACAATAATACAGTATTTATGAATTTTGAAGAATAAATTTAAACTCAGAACACATCACTTAATGATAACATTCCTAGAAAGTCACATGAAGTTATTAGATTTTCCTTGTTTGAATATTTAATTTTGTGAGGCTTCCTGAGAGTTAATTTTATATATGTGACATTGGATCATTCTCTTTTGAAAATTATGAATTTTAGTGTCATATATTTTAGTGTTGATAAAAAAAAATTAATTACCATTAACAATTTTAATGAATAGAAATAGAAGGAAAAAAAGCTTAAAATGTTAAATAATAGTTTTAACTTATTTTCTCTTCTGTCTT